TGAAGGAAAAGAAGATGAGTCATCAAAAGCAATTATAATGATAGACAGTAAGCTTAGCATATGTGTGTTTATATATGGTATATACATACATATACTGATGTATGGATGCTTGAATGTGTGTGTTATATTTGTTTATATGTGCCTATGTGTAATAGTAGTTTGAAACAGACTGTGCTAATCATCATATTGATTTTTATAAACACCAAGGTAGTGAGGGGTAACAGGAGCAGATGGGCTAGTTGTTCAATTCAAACATTGATTTCCAGGACTGAACTTGAAGATTGGCTGCTTCTCTTTGTGATAATTCATCAAATCTAAAGTGATATCCAGATTTATTTTTATGTCCTAGAGGAAAAGCATAAATCAGTTAATTAGATATAAAGTCCAGCTCTTAGAAGCAGAGAAGCTCTGAAGTAAATACTGTAAGACACCCCACTCAACCTACTTTTCACCCAGAGAATTCTCCAAGGGTGGCCAGGACAGGTCTGTCCCAGGGAAAAGTTACAATGAAGCAGACAGACCTTCTCTCCCCAGGGCTGCTGGCCTCTCCCCAGCTGGCAAAGCTTTTTGATCCAAAAATGTTGGGAGAACAAATAAGTGGCAAACCACATTATCAAGCTTTTCCCGAAATCAAAATTATGCAGTGATACTTCTTTCTAGTGAGTCTCTGTTTTTCATTCTCTATTCCTACCTGCAGCCATTTTTCCTCTGGTAGTACATGAATCCCACCATGATCAGGAAGACCAATAAAAGACAGGATTTCACATAGTGAATAATCAGTAAGGATGAAACGGACATGTCTGATGTACCTTTAACACAGGAAATAAGACAGATATAAAGAATCCCTTCAAGTATTTTTCTAACAAACAAATTAAAGTCACCAAGTTAAAGGAGGCTTTAAAAATATGAATAAAAGCTCACAGAACTCTCTTGATCAAAACACATTTTTGACTATAATTCTAAGGTTATCAATCTATCATTCTTTTATCTCAAAGATTAAGAGACATCTTTGTAGATTTGTGTATGTAACAGGTTTTAATACATATTTTATAAATGAGTAAATGAACAATATAGATTGCTAAAATTTCCAAATGTTATAGGAAAAAAACATATATTAGAGATGTAGTATGCTTGCATATATAAACCCTGGGTTTGATTCCAGGTACTGTAAAGCTCGAGGTAAAGGTAAAGGCCCTCCCGTTGATCGTCGATTTTTGCTCGAGCGGGCCCAGTAACATCTCCATTGGGGACTTTGTTGTTACTGTGTCTGGCATATCGAATACTCTCGGTAGCTTGCCGGGCTCTCCGAGAGGGGTGGAGGAATCGAACTCGGGTCGGCCATGTTGGCCGCTTGTAAGGCGAACGCCCTACCGCTGTGCTAAAGCAAAACAACAAAATTATAAAGGAAAGAAAAACACACAAACTCCTACTTCTCCCTCCCTGAGCCTCTAAAAAAATAAAATAAAATAAAAAGAAGGAAATATATGTTAGAACTTCCTGAATAACTGTTATGTTTTGTCGCACTGCACTGTAGCACTGAGCTCCCGTTGTTCATCGATTTGCTCAAGCGGGCCCTGTAACGTCTCCATTGTGAGACTTGTTGTTACTTTGTTTGGAATATTGAATAAATCATTGGTAGCTTGCCAGGTTTTGCCATACAGGCAAGATACTCTCTGTAGCTTGCCGAACTCTCTGAGAGGGGAGGAAGAATCGAACCTGGCTTGGCTAGGCCAGCCACGCACAAGGCAAACGCCCTACCGCTGTGCAAATTGTAAGCAGTGTATGTAGCACTGTCCTCCTATTGTTCATTGATTTGCTCAAGCAGGCACCAGTAACGTCTCCATTGAGCCTGGCAAGCTCCCCGTGGGGTATTCGATATGCCAAACACGGTAGAAATAATAGGTCTCATTTCCCTGACCCTGAAAGAGCCTCCAAATCGGCAGCATTGGGAAGAACGAGTAAAGAGAGGCTGCTAAAATCTCAGGGCTAGGAAGAATGGAGATGTTACTGGAGCCCGCTGAAACAAATTGATGAACAACAGGATGACAGTGATACAGTGATACGAAGAAGCTGCAATCACACCTTTAATGGGGGTATTTTATGTATTTCTATTTTCATTTTTTAATCTGTGAAGTGACCCTCATAATTGCTGAAAAAATAAAATGGACTGTTTAGGATGATCATTCTGAAGTCCTTTCTCTTCTGAAACTGTCAGATAAAAGTGTATGTGAACTCTTGATTTGACTCTTGATTTCAAGAGGGTCACATGACCCATTAAATAAGCTGAAATGCTACACTAGATATCAATTCCTTAGGCAATATTGTGAAGGAACACATGGTCAGGATTCTCAAAAAGTTCTTCAAATCTAATTGGAGAAGTTTGGATCCATACAAATAAAAAGACAGAACATAAGAGAGCAAATTGTATTAAATGAGAATTGCATATTATAAAGCTACATGCAAAACACCTATTCAACTCTAATTAAAATATCAGAATGACAAGGGATTTTAAAATAAACTTTGCCTATAGCAGAATTAAATCGGTCCAAAAAAGAAGGAAGTTCTTTTCAAGGGGAAAAAAAATTAAAGTTGAGCAAGGATCTGAAGATGCTATATTTGAAGCCAAGAATGTGAAAATAAAACTGAAGTCTGTGATAAATTTAAACCTAATTCCGCAGTTATTTGTATTGGCTTGGCCAGATCCTAGTACTATAGGAATGAAAGATATTATTTCTACTCTCAAGGAACTTACATTGTACTGGGAGTCAGAGAAGTGGGAAGTCAGTTTAGAACTAAAATAGCTTATTAAGGGAGAGAGGAGAGTTATGCATAAAACATTACATGAACACAAAAGAGAACAGCTAACCAAACTACAGGGAAAAGGAAGATTTAAGTGATCTCATAGGAACAACATCCACCTAACAATCAATAGAAATTGATCACTTGACTGGAAGATGTTATAGAAAAAGAAGTGCATTGTGGGAAAAAAAAGGAAGAAGTGCATCATACAGAGGTAGAAAGTACAGTTAAAGAGGATAAAGCAATAAAAGGTCATGATACTTTAGAGAAGCTTCAAAAGGTGCATATGCGAAGTGCACAGGACAGAAGCTGAGAAAAGCAGAAGCCGCTGGCTGACCAAAGGGGTTAAGCTTCACCTGAGGCAAAATGCTACTGAAGGTGCTTAGCAGCACAGCACTGCATAATTTTCATCTTAGAAAAATCTCTCTAGCAACAGTATGAGGGATATAAATTGAAGGAGATAAGTGAGAGGTCAGAAAACCTGTTGCAAGAAGATTGAAATGATTTCAGTGAGAGATGATTTTGTAATCACTTAAGGAAGGGAGAAGAAAAATAAAAGTCAAGATTTAAGAAAGACATGTTAGGTCAAATCAGTAAAAACAGAGTTATTGGTTTGAAAATGAGGACTAAAAAGAAGGCTTTCATAGGATATTTTTAAGTTTTCTAGGTTTGATCATTTAGCAAGATGTATGATAACTGGTATGGAGGTTATGGAGGCATAGGAGAAGATGTCACTGCAGACATATTCAAGTTCAGGTGTCCTCGATGCATCCAGATGAAGCCATCCAACAGTAAGGTCATTTTGATGCTGGAAAGAAATCTGAACTCCTTCAGAAAGAGAGGGATAGACATAGGAAGATCGCATTTATCTGGGGGATATAAAGTAACAAAATATGAGATTAATACCCAAGAATAGCTGAGATCAGCACCAGGAGGATTACTCCATAGCTTAGAGGCCAGCCAGGCATTCTAGGAGAAAGGACAGCTCAGAAGGGAGCACCAAATAAAGGGTGTTTGGAGGATCCTCCCAGGAGGGGAGATGCATGTTGAAAGTAGACTATGGACTGAACATGTTTGCCACTCAATGCCTCTTTTGCAGACCACAACACCCAAAAGGAGAGAGAGAACAAAAGGGATTGCCCTGCCACAGAGGCAGGGTGGGATGGGGGGGATGGGGGTGGGAGGGATATTATCCATGGTAGTGGAAAATGGGCACTGGTGGAGGGATGGGTATTTGATCATTGTATAATCGAAACCCAAGCACAAAAATATCGTAAATCTACAACTATACCTCATGGTGTTTCACTAATAAAAAAAAATTAAAAAAAAAAGAAATCTGAACTCTAAATTCACAAATGAGGATCAAGAATTAGGCAGTAGGAGAAACTATAGGTACAGACATGATTGCTCAAGAAATGGGGTGAAATTAGAAGAGAAGAAAACCAGTAATGAAGCAAATAGAAAATTTATTCTTTTATAGAATAAATAAATGAAAAGGAGTGTATGCAAGAAGTCTAGGAAGCTAGAGAAAAGGTAAGATGGACGCCAACTGCAACATGAGAGGAAACCATGTGAAAGGGAGGCCAGAGCATGCTATATTTTACAAAGAAGCCAATTAATATGAAGGTAAATTTAATAATGTATAAAATTATTAATTAAAAAAACTATAAGGGGAAGTAAAGTCTATGTTTTACTTGGTATTTTAGAGGTCTTTATCAGTTTGGTCAGGTCATTTACTGTGGAAAGAGATACAAGTGAATAAAGGAGTAGATATGAAGTGACAGAAGAGACAATGAGGATATATTCCTCTTTGGAAATCTTGGATATGACTAGAAAATTTACTAACGTTGACTCAGCTGTATGGGTATGGTCCAGCTGCTAGACAAATAGAAAACAGAACAGTTCACAGTAGACAGATCATTTTCTGCCAAGTAGCATGTACTCTGGATGGTGACTGCCTCATTGCCCCAATGCTGTTGTTCCTCTGTAGTGGCACAAGCTCCCTCTGGAGCCCAGGAGATCTGTGCAGTCGACTTCCCTGCTGCAGCTACCCTGCACACTGCATTTCTCTGCTCTGTCCACGTGGTCACCTCAGGGGGCACTGCAGGGACACAGGGGGAAACAAAATGCTTCAGTCTTAGCACCCGAGACATAGGTTTTAGCAATGTTTCTCTCAGTACCCAACCAGGTTATCAGAAATATCACATTTGGTGCTCCTTACCTAACACTTGGAGGTTATAACTACGCTGGAGATTTCCATCTGGTATTACAAGTTCACACGTATACTTCCCTTTGTGACTGATGGCCACTGGATCAATCTGAAGGGCAGGATTCTGGTCAGGTCTGGAGGCCCAGGTTATTCTATTGTCACTGCAGTTGTTGCTGGTCTTATTTTCCTCTTCCTTGTAGAATGTGATGCATTTCAACTTGCCTCTAAGGTTTATAGTCCATGTTGCTAACACCAAATGTGGTGAGGAGATGGGACAGCAAGAGAGAACAACCTTGGCACCTACAAACACAGTCTCACTAGAGTGAACTAGAAACAAGAGAAGAAGAAGGTTAGAAATTTTATGAATCAGTTCCTTCTAAAGAGTTATATTTAAAGCCCCACAAAACCTGTTTATCTTCCAATAAATATTTTACTCATTCTGAAGCAAAAAAGATAAATTAGTTCATCTTGTTTTTCTCAAAGAAAAAACATACATTTATAATTTAAAGCATGTATATTTTCAGTTTTTTCACATGAAATATTAAAATTATAGTGTTAAAATTAAAACGTTACTGTTCCGAGGAACAGTTCTTCTCCAGTGTCGAAAATGGCATTATATGACTGATGCCTTCTCATTTCGGTCAGACCAATGACATCGTACTTGATCTGTGCTTCCACCATCAGGTCCTTGAATGATGCTTCCCATGCCAGCGTACATGCATTGAAAGTACAGTCATTTTAGTCCTTCTTTGTTTTGGCAGCCTAGTTTGGCCCTGAGATTTTATCAGCCTTTCCTTGCTGGTCCTTCCTAACACTGCCGTATTGGGGGCTCTTTCAGGGTCAGGGGAATGAGACCCGTTATTGTTACTGTTTTTGGCATATTGAAAACCCCACGGATAGCTTGCCAGACTCTGCCGTATGGATGGGGCTCTCTGAGAGGGGCAAGGAATCAAACCAAGTTCAGTGGCGTGCAAGATAAATGCCCTACCCGCTGTGCTATTGCTCCAGCCCAGAAATGACACTAGACTATATAAACAATACTATTGTATTAAATGGTTTGAATTTTCTTATTCACAGAGGTTGAAGTTATATAGCAATTAATCATCATAAATTGACTTTTGGTGATTTATCTTCTAATAATTCCATTTTTTAAAGGTTTGTTGGAGCAAGCAATATGAAATAAATATGGTATGTCCTGCCAAGAAGACAGGCTGGAGGATGGCAGGGACTCTGGGGACATTGGTAGTGAGATGGGCATTTCAAAATTATATACCTGAAACTATTGTATTATGAATAGGTTTGTAAATCATGGTGTCTTATTTTAAAATTAAATAAATAAAAGAGAAGAAAACTATAGGAAATGGTAAAGCATGCCATGCTCATGTATTGAGAGAATAAATATTAGTAAAACAACTATCCTACCTAAGCTATATTATAGATTCAATGCAATTCCTGTCCAAATTCTGACAACATTCTTCAAGAACCTAGAAAAGTCAGTAATAAACTTTATATGGATCAGAAGAGTCCCATATAAAAGCAAAGCCATATCAGATAGTAAGAAATCGGGAGGTATCTCATTATCTAATTTGGGACTGAATTATAAAAGTATAGTGGCCAAAATTGGTACTGGAATAAAGATAGGCTTTCTGATCAATAAGTCAGAATCAAATACCCAAGCACAAAACCCCTTATATATAAACAGTTAATTTTCAATAAAGAATCTGAAAGCATGAAGTGGAATAAAGATAGCCCTTTCAGGCCTGGAGCGATAGCACAGCAGTTAGGGCATTTGTCTTGTACATGGCCTACCCAGGTTTGATTCCCAGCATCCCATATGGTCCCCCGAGCACCACCAGGAGTAATCCCTGAGTGCTGAGCCAGGAGTAATCCCTGTGCATCACCAGGTGTGACTCAAAAAAGAAAAACAAAAGATAGCCCTTACAACAAATGGTGCTGAGAAAACAAGAAAACCGTGTGTAAAAACTTGAATCTATTTTCTTAATGAAAGTACCATGTAAGCATTCATTTATAACATGGAAACATCATCAAAGAACTCTCTAATGATGAAGATCTCAAGCACTGTAGACAATTTTTATTCTTCCTGTGACCTTCAGTCAATCACCCTTTATCTTTTAAAATAGTTCATGTCCCATTGCTTTTATTTCACATTTTTCTTACCTTTTTCCTTCTTTTTTTCAAGTTTTGTAAATGAGGAGAGATGACAAAAGTATAGTAGTAGAAGGTCATAGGCAATTTGGTGGTGGTAATTTGTAGTAACTTTGTACATCAATACCACAAACTTAAGCACAATGTAATCATATTAACTAAACTATAACAAAAAATAAAAGCAAAACAAAACTGTTGCCATAATTTGTCAATGATTGGTTACTTCCCCACAACCACTGGATTTGACACTAACAAGTCTATTGTCCATACTTTGCTGAAATCATCTAGAGTGAATTTACTCACACTTTACAGAAAAGATAGGTAGATTCTCATAACTGATACGAAGCCAACACCTTTTATCTGTATTCTTTGTCTACAAATATTTTCCAGGTTTATCCAGCTTCAAGCATACAGACAATTATAATTGGTTTGAAGGCATTTGCTTCTTATCTCATTACTATACCTAGCTGAAGTCTCCTTCATCATATACCTAAATTAGAGGAAAACAAACTTAAGTTCTGTCTCTCTGTAAACTCTCTCCTTTCCTCAATTCACACCTTACATTGTATGCAGCCATCACATACATCAGTCAACTCTGATATCCTTTAAAGAACTCTTGCTGGTTAAACAAACAAATAAACAAACAAGCAATGTGAATGTCTTTATATTGACTTTGAAAACCCTCTCTTTAAAATTGACTTGCCAGTGCCATATTACAACTATCTATATTGTTCCCATATTCTGGGCAAAATATTATGTTTTTAAGGGCCTTCTCACATTGTTCATACCATCTGAGATACCCATACTATGCTCTACTAAAACACTCTCCCTATAGAATAACATAACACGAGACTGACACCCAAGGACAGTAGATACAAGAGCCAGGAATATTGCTCCAGAGTTGGAAGCCTGCCTCATGAGTGGTGAAGGGGGGATGTGGGGGAAGGCAGCTGGAATAGAGAAGGGATCACTAAAAAAATGAGGATTGGAGGAATCGGTTGGGATGGGAGATGCGTGCTGAAAGTAGATAAAGGAGCAAGCATGATAACCTCCTAGTATTTGCATTGCAAACCATGATACCCGAAAGTAGAGAGAGAGTATGGGGAATATTGTCTGCCATGGAGGCAGTGGGAGGGTGGGAAAGTGGGGGTATACTGAGAACAATGGTGGTGAGGAATGTGCACTGGTAGAGGGATGGTTGATTGTGTGATTGTAACTCAAACATGAAAGCTTGTAAATATATCTCATGGTGATTCAATAAAATAAAAAAAGGAAGAAAAATAATGTTTTAATTCACAATGTTTTATTAAAATAAAATTTTGAAAAAATTTTAAAAAACACCCTCTCTTTTAATTTATTGAATTCACATATTGCATCCTCTGCTTAGAGCGAATCTCTTCAGTTTCTTACTCATATGTAGGTTCCCATACAAAACTGAGTCTCCTGAGAACTCCCTAGTAATATAGCTCATCTTTGTGTTTCCTTCAAAGTTATCATAGTGCCTAATAAGTAGAGAAGGCTAAATAATCTTTGCATGGAAAATTTAATGCTCTAGATGAGGGTAATACTATTCAAGATACCTCATATCAAAGCATTCATATAACCACATTGTTCAACTCTGCACAATGCTGACCTCAGACCAGACCATTAACTAAATCTCTAAAGAAATCAAATACTTCATCTCTCTATATTAAATTTAAATGTATATTACCTCCTGCAGAGTCAATCTTACACTGCTTTACATCCACAGATGAACTACTTGTTGAAGCTAAAACACATAGAAAAGTTGGTAAATGGGATGGATATTATTGCTTATTCACAAAAAAATCATTTAATTATACTAGAAAATCAGTTAACCCTAACTAGATTATATAAAAATCCTTGAAGAATGGAAATTACAAGTAATTAATTCATCAAATAAAAAAATATGTTAACAGCTGGAAATAACATCCAGATGTTATTAAGGTTTGGAAGTACAATAAAAGCTAAAAGATTTTGTTTAAAATTATAGTTTAAGGTAACAAGATTATAATTGTATTTATATAAAATACAATTTTTATCCATATTATATTTCTGCTTTTGTTATACAAGGTTATTGTACCTCCATCACCACCAATGTGACAAAAATCCTTCACCATTAACTTTAAATCATTTCTGTCCACCTTTCCCTTCTAACCTTCAACCATTCCATCTCTTTCCCTCTCCTTGATAATCCCAGTTCTTCAATAAAAGCCCAGGGTTTGTTCTTATCGGATACTGTCTATTCACTAGCTTTGTTTTTCAAATACCATCACTTATCACTTAATCACTTAATCCCCGTTATTCATCGATTTATTCGAGCGGGTGCCAGTAACGTCTCCATTCATCCCGGTTGCGTGCTAGCGTAGCCCAATGATATCTGTTCGTTTTAGGAACATGTAGAGCCTCAAACCGATCATTTAGGGTCTTGACGAAGAAGTCTGACCATCTTATAGGTGGGCGTCCACGTGATCTTTTGATGTCTCGTGGAATCCAATCAGTAATGGCTCTAGTCCAGCGGTTGTCTGTAAACCTCATTACATGTCCAGCCCATCTGATTTTTGATGTCTTGGCAAATGAGACAGCGTCTCTGATTCTTGAACGTTGACGAAGATCAGAACTCCGGATTCTATCTCTCATTTGAGTGAATCGTGATATTCCAAGCATAGTTCTTTCGATTCCTCTTTGAGAGACCCGAATAGTGTTCTCATCCTGTTTTCGTAGGGTCCAGGTCTCTGAGGCATATGTTAATGCAGGAAGAATAGTGGAATCAAAGAGATGTGCTCGTAGTTGGAGGTTCTTTGTCCTTTTAGTTATTTCTTCAATGCTCTTGAAGGCATTCCAAGCCGCTCTCTTCCTCCTGCGTAACTCAGGTGCCAGGTCATTCATCATGTTGATTTCTCGACCTAAGTATATATAACTGTTGCATTCGGAGATGGTGGTTCCGTTGAGAGCGAATGGAGCGTCAGGAACAAGGCTGTTTCTCATAAACATTGTCTTCGTAAGATTCAGCTGTAGTCCGACCTTTCCACACTCACGGTCAAAGTCCGCAAGCATTTGTGCCGCTTGGCTGATGTTTGGTGTTATTAGAACGATGTCATCAGCAAAGCGGAGGTGGTGTAGTTGCCGACCATCTATCTTCACTCCCATTCCTTCCCATTCCAGTCGTCGCATGATGTTCTCGAGGGTGGCACTGAAGAGTTTTGGTGAAATGGTATCACCCTGCCGAACCCCTCTCTTGATATGGATGATTACTTCTTTGTAGAATGGTGAGATCTTGGTAGTGAATCCGCAATAGAGCTCACAAAGGATCCTGATGTATTGAGTTTGTATGCCCTGATTGGCTAGGGCTTCCATGACCGCTTCCGTCTCAACAGAATCAAAGGCCTTCTTTAAATCAATGAACGTTAGACAGAGCGGCATCTTGAACTCCCGAGATACCTCAATGAGCTTGGTTATTGTGTGGATATGGTCGATGGTACTGAATCCTTTTCGGAATCCAGCTTGTTCACATACCATATATGAGAAAAATATTCTGGCCTTTTCCATCTTACTCTGATTTAACATAATGTCCTCTAACTCCATCAATGTTGTAGCAAGAAAAATACCATTCTATAGTATGTACATTCCACAATTATTTATGTACTCATCTGTCATTGTGTAGTGTTGTTTCTAGATTTTGGCTACTGTTAAATAGTGCTGCCAGTAACATGATTTTGCATATATTTTTCATGCTTATCTCTTTGTGTTATTGGAATAACCACTAAGAAATAAATTTTCTGCATTGTGATAGAGATATATTTTTATTTTTTCTTATGTTTTTATACTGATTTTTACAGAGGCTAAGCCATAGAGGCTGATCAATAGTGAATGAGTCAGCTTTTTTCACTATATTCCCACTAACCTGATTGTTTTCATTATTTTTTGTAAAGGTCACACAGAAGGCCAGTTGTTTTGATTTGCATTTTCCTAGTAATAAGTGATGATATTACCTTCTGAAGGAGAGTGTAATGAACTTCATTTTATTCATAGACGTTGTTGAAGAATAAATGCATTCAGAAAAGAAGTAGGTAAATCAATTATATATATTTAAATGGAGTGGATTACATTGCTTATTCATAAAAATCAAATTACTAGAAATCCTTTAAGCATAATTAGATTACACAAAAATCTTCGCACAAATCCTCCAATAAAAAGGTAATAGTACGAAATATAATGAGAAGAAAATGAAGATAATTTAGGAGATACTGACAATATCAGAAGAAATAGTCTCAGAATCATAGGAATTCTAGAAGAATACAAAACGGGTAAAATAGCTCCTTGAAGAAATAATAGCTAGAACATTCTCAATCTTAACGGGAGACTAATATACTGATATAAGAGACCCTAATAATGCCAATCAAGTAAACCCAAACAGAGCAACAACAAGATACCTGTGATCAAAATGACGAAAATAAAACACATAGAGAGACTCATTAAGATGGGGAGGAGCAAGGGCTCATATACAGGGGGAAAGCATTAGATTCGATCATATTTCCAAAATGAAATTCTTTAAGCAAGAAGAGAATCAAATAATTTATTTATATCACTGAATGAAAGAACCTCCTAGGAACTGGAGAGATAGTACAGAGGATAAGGCACACAGCCTACCAACGTTAGATTCCGGCATCACATATAGTATCCTGAGCCCTATCAGGAGTGATCCCTGAGCACAGAACAAGAGAGAGCCCTGAACACAGCTGGGCGTAGCCTAAAAGCTAATGAATTTAAAAAAGTAAATAAATAAAATAACCTCCTACTAAAGTATTCTACCCTGCAATGTACTCATCTGTCATTGCGAAGTTGTGTTGTTTCTAGATTTTGGCTACTGTAAATATTGCTGCCAGTAACATGATTTTGCATATATTTTTCATGCTAATATCTTTGTGCTATTGGGATAACCACCAAGAAATAAATTTTCTGTGTCATATATTATCACTATATTATCACATATATTATCACATATATTATCACATATTATCATGTATTATCACTCATATTTGAGGGAATGTAAAATCACTCTCAAATAAAGAACTGATGATATGTGTTGCAAATAAATCAGTTGTGCTAGGTAAGGAATAAACTCGTATTTTAAAAAGTCAAATGTCAAAAGCATCCAAAATCCTTATAAATAGATGACAGCAAGCTATTATATATCAGTAATTGCTCTAAAAGCCAATGAACTGAAATTTCCCATTAAAAGGCAAAGAATTCCTGGATAGATAAGGAAACAAATCAATCCATCTACTCTTTATAAGAGATGCACTAAAACTTCCACAAAAAGCAGATTGATATTAAAGACTTACAGAGCAATTATACAAGTCTAATGGTAGATTAAAAATGAAGGAATGGCCATACTTTTTTTAGACCAAATATTCAAACAAAAAAAATGTTGTAAGAGATATGTTTTGTCATTACATAGTGGTCAAAGGATAAAGATCGAGAGGACTTATCTTGGGGCTGGAGCGATAGTACAATGGCTAGGGAGTTTGCCTTGCTCGTGGACAACGTGGGTCGATTCCCAGCATCCCATATGGTCCCCTGAGCACATCCAGGAGTAATTCCTGAGTGCAAAGCCAGGAGTAACCCTGTGCATTGCCAAGTGTGACCCATAAAGCAAAAGAAAAAAAGAGAACTTAACTTTGTCCAACATAAATGCACAAAAAAAATGCAGGGAGTAGCAAAGTATATAAAGCAACTTCTAACAGGAAATATAGTTGGAAACACACAATAGTAGTGGGAAACTTACACCCACTATTGCAGAGATAAGCCAAAATTAAAGCATTAACAAATAAGGAAACAAGAGACCTAAATGAGGAATTAGAAAAAGAGATCAATAAATATTTAAGGATCATCTATCACTGTACAGTATACATTCTTCTCCTGTGCATGTGGAATACTCCTGAGGACAGACCAATACTCGAACACAATTTAAGTGTCAACAAAAATGTCAACAAAAATCACAAAAGTAGAAATCATATTAAGTATCTTTTCAGCCACAGTGTGATTGGTAATAAAAGTAAAAGCAGGAAAAGTGCTAATATTTGGAAATTAAGAAATAAGCCACTAAAAAGTCATTGAGTCAAAGAGGAAATTTTAAAAAATTTAAAAGTTTCCTCCAGATGAACAAGAATGAAGAAGGCACAAATTATCAGAATTTTGTTTATCTTGAGAACTCTTACATAAATTTTGGTACTGAAAAGTAAGGTGCTGCTATAATAAATACCTAAAAATGTGGTTACAACTTTGAAATTGGGATGGCATCTGGAGCAATATTGAGGTACATGTGTATTGCTGTGAAAAATTGCTGACTAAAAGATGAGCAGTAGAGGAGATCCTGGCAGTTGTTGAAACAGATTATTCCAGGCAGCCAATCATAAATAATTTTGTAATTTCAAAGTGACCAAATTTTAAAAAAAATGAAGCTTTCTACTAGAGCCTGGAAAGCAAAGCCAAGAGCTGGAGAGAAAGTGTCTTCTTAAGGAACACATTAAAGATCATGAACAGAATGCTGGTAAAAATGTGGATATTAAAGACTATTCTTACACGATGCACTGAATATAGAAATCAATCATTTATAGACGTAGAAAACCAAATAAAACACTGGAAATTAAACAACTCAATGTTGAACAACGAGTAGGTCAGGAAAGAAATCAAGGAAGAAATAAAAAGATACCTGGAAACAAATGAGAATGAAGATACGAGCTACAA